TGGTGTTGTCGGTGAAAACACCAGTCAGCTATAAGACAGTTATGCGGTAAGAGCTCGACAGAAAAATGCAAAAATGAGGCTGCAAATCAACCGGTCAAAGTCGAAGATACTCAAATCGGATGCCTTGATAAGGTTCCAGGAAATATTAAACTGGGAAGAGGTCGAAGAGGACGTCGATAAATATATTTACCTGGGCCAATAGATCAACACGTAGTACGATAAAGCTGAAATGATTCAATGAAGAAAGAGGGCCAGTTGGCGTATGTTCCATTCCATGAAAACTGACCTCCTCAGCTACCTCTTCTGCCGTTTTCAGACAACGTTGTATGGTCGTGAAACTTGGTCACTCAGAAGATGAAGAGCAGTTACTTGTCACTGCGAGAGCCATGGTACGAAGAATGATTGGAACCTCACGTTGGACCACACCCCCAAGAGGGTGATGAAGCAGCGGATGTGGTTGAAGGTCGTCGAGAGCAGAAACGAGAATCTACGAACGGTCAGACACGTAGCTCGGCTCATCGACGGTAATGGTCGATGATGATGGTTGACCGGCACCCCTCGTTGGCCCATTAGGTTGCTTGGTCACTGACTGCGACAGTGGGACGATTATGTCAAGAGACCTGAGGGTTGTGCTTAGATACAGAAATCATGAAACCGTTAGGAATGCCGGGCGTGCTGCGGCCGGTGTGATTCGTCCGTGATTACCGGCACGAGTGAAGGTCCACATTGTGTACAATAGGCTTCGTGGAAGACTCATGTCTAGTCATGCTAACAACTTTCAATATGCCCTTACGCTTACTTAATCCGCTTCAAATACCCAACTTTCGGCACGATTATTTGATTATAATTAGTTTCATACAGATTTACTTAAGTTATAAGTTTATGCTCAATCTCTGATTTCTTGTCGAAGTGACAAAAGGACCACGACATTGTCTTTTAAACTTTTTTGAGAGGATAATAGGGATAAAACTCAACCTTTTTTGTATAGGAAGGTAAAGAGTACAATTCGGATATGTTTTGCCTCCTTGGATTCATGTCCATGAAATGAGCATGTGCTTGTGACGTTGTGACCAATGGTTAATTAATTCAACTGTCGCTCTTTTGAAGTAGACATACGAGATACTGGTCTCTGGCATATCAAAGTAAGCTATTAACAGGAAAATAAAACTATTTGCAGCATTTTGGTATGTATCTCAAATAGACGAATAATAATAGGAACATCAGGGATTCAGACCTTCAGAAAAACCTTTTAGTTAAAGGCCAAAACGTTGGTGGAGGTAAATCGATTTGACAGACGCAGTAAATACCGTAATCAAATAGGAATTGTTACTAGGCAGTAAATACCGTTACTAGGCTGAAAGAAGGAGGAAGAATATTTTCATATTTTTTGCTGCTTTGAAAGTTATTAATCTTGATCAAGGATCGCCGAACCGTGGTAAATTACCCCAAGTGGGTGAAAATGAAATTCTTGAAGGTGATGAAAACTGAATAGACATAAATAAAATTATATTAAAGCACGTTTCTTGTCACGACAGAAATTTTTCTTCTGACAACACTGCGTCTGGCCAATGTAATAGACGAGATAGGAGACGTCACGCCATGTTGAACTCCAGACAGTTTGGTTGCCAAGGCGTTGTCAAGTGGTTAAACAGATGTTATTTCTCAACTGTGTATTTTTTGCCTTAACCTTATTTTTTGACACGTGTTTTTGCTTTGTTTAAATCGATTTAAGAAGTTATTTAATTTAATTAAACTCAGTAGTTTCATTTTAAGTCTAAGATTTTCATTTATTAACCATATTTTAGTTGCATGTTAGTTCAATAATTTGCTTATTTTCTCCATATTAATTTTCGATAGTCAATAACACTGCCTTAATCTTGAGGACGTCGTAATGCCACGTTTACCGATTATATTACTGTACATTTAAATTAACTTTTAAAAACTTAAAACGCCGGCAGAGTTGGTGGATTCGCATTTAACCATCCGTAACAACGGTTACCAGAGAAATTGTTTAGATAGTATACAAATTGCTTTGACACCAGAATTCCCCAATTTTGATGTTATTGTATCAAAAATGAAACAAGATAATTTCTCTGAAACTTGAAGGGAAAAAGTTTTAAAAGAAATCCTTTGGCTTAATGATGAGAATATTAATTTATTTTATCGCATTTATTTTATGCATTTTATATTTAAAATTGTATTCTCCGTATTAGCACATTCAATAAACCTCTTGAATTTAAATAGTCGATGATTTTCTCCCTTTCAAATCAATGGGGTAACGTCGGCGAAAATAAATATAATTTGGGGTAACAGGTAGAAAAGTTCCCCGGCCCATGGTCTACATGTCTTACTGTGTTTAAAATGCACGTTCCCATATGTTAAATATCATGTATAAAAACATATATGATTGTGACGCATTTAAAAAATGGCGGGGCACTGGGAACGATATTGAGGTAGTTGAGGCCAGTGGTGTTTTCCAAGTGACCCCTTCGAAACCGAGCGGCGCTGAACACCTCCATTGCCCTGAAAGGTGCAGTCGTTGAACAGCGACGTCAACCGGCGCCACCGCACAATGACAGCTGCTGCCATGGCGAAATTCGTTCGACTTTGCCGGTCGAACGGTCGGCGTGAACTGGCAATGGGCAATTGCTCTTTTCAAGCCCTCTTTGGACGACAATCGACGCGTGCTCGCAACGGTGTACGAACAATGGCTGGCTGCCTCGAGGCTTACGGGAGGTCTATG